TGCCCCCTCTTCATCCCCCATACCGTGCAGCACGATGGGCTCTGATTTTATATTAGATGTCAGTGTCTGACGGTCGGCTGGAGCATCCAAGGCTTCAATAGCCAGAAGCGCGCGGAATCCTTGTAGATGTAAGATTTTAGCATTTTTTTGCCGCGCGGTCTTCCACGTGGAAAACCGTGCGGCAAAAGCTGTATGTGAATGGAAATGGGGGGGGGGGGTGGTATTTTGTTTAAAATTCCCAGAGTTCATCTTTATATCTAAAGCCGAAAGTTCTCCCTTTTATGCTGGGGTTGGGAAGGGCTAGAACCCCTACAAGTTTTATTTGTCGTTGGTGATCCATTGGTGAGATTTCACTTCCTGTGCTGTGAATGTAGCAGGAAGTCGGAGGAAATCTCTACAAATTGGGGAAAATCTTCTCACCAGAAGTGGTGTCTGGAAATTTGGGTAATTCCCACCACTTTTAGACGTGGTGACAACAGTCCTAAACATTGGGTGCTTTGCTCACAGGGGCCCTGACGGTTATTACCAGCTCACATCTCTACCCAAAACTGAAAACACTTCAAATGAGAAATGTGATGTCTCGTGCTTTACAAGCCTGCCAACCCCAACATTCTGTGGTGATACTTGCGTTAGTCCCTGGCATCCCAGGTGCTTTTGCCTCAGTGAGGGAAATGTCATGGGGGGCCCCCCTGGGAAAGCTGAGGATCCCAAATCTCTCGATTGTACTCCAGCACTGTGCTTCACTCTGGGAGGGGCTTCACGTCGGCGGTGGGGCCGGAGGTCCCTGTGAGGGGTCGGCGGTGGGGCCGGAGGTCCCTGGGAGGGGTCGGCGGTGGGGCCGGAGGTCCCTGGGAGGGGTCGGCGGTGGGGCCGGAGGTCCCTGGGAGGGGTCGGCGGTGGGGCCGGAGGTCCCTGGGAGGGGTCGGCGGTGGGGCCGGAGGTCCCTGGGAGGGGTCGGCGGTGGGGCCGGAGGTCCCTGGGAGGGGTCGGCGGTGGGGCCGGATGGTGGAAGTGATGTGTTATTTCAGTATTACATTTTCTCCATGTAGTGTGCTTTGTTGTTGCACGCCTTACCACAGAGCACAGCTTGGGGTACATTGCCGTTCATTTTGCATGTCTCCCCAATGCACACACAACACGCCTGCACTGTATTGCACTATGTCGGGTGTGTTGCACTGCTGGGGGGATTTTTGCTGTGTTGGGCCATTTAACGGGTGAGTTCACTTTCTCACAACTTGTGAAAAACAAACTTTCAGACAGAACCCCACCACTCGCATGTTTCAGGTTCCTGCCGGCCGTTCACCAAACATTCCATCACTGCAATATATACACTCACAAATGTTGATTTACTCATTGGTCACCTGGCCACGCTGACCTATGGATAGTGCTACTACTTAGGGCTGCAACAACTAATCGATGATGAGAATAGTTGGCAAATAGAGGGATATTTTTTTTTTTCCAATCGATTAGTTGAAAAAAAACAAATCAGGCAACTAATCGATTATGAAAATAATTGTTAGCTGCAGCCCTACTTCTACTGAAACCTGATCCCCGGCTCAAGAGATCTTCTCATTGGTCAGCAAGGTCATGTGACTTTACAAAAAATGAATAGGCCGTGATAACACGGTGTGCATTGCCCTACATGTTACCACAGCGCAGTATAGTGTGAAGGGGCCCATAATGTGTGTCTGCGGGGGAGGGGAGTCCTTGTAAAAAGCAGGTCCATGTTAGAATTTCAGGCATTGCTTCCTCCTCGATCACTATTGTCAGCCCTTACAACTTTTATGTGCTGTAGCTGTCGGCGGAATCTGCCGCTATCTGGTGTAGCTGTCGGAGGAATCTGCCGCTATCTGGTGTAGCTGTCGGCGGAATCTGCCGGTATCTGGTGTAGCTGTCGGCGGAATCTGCCGGTATCTGGTGTAGCTGTCGGCGGAATCTGCCGGTATCTGGTGTAGCTGTCGGCGGAATCTGCCGGTATCTGGTGTAGCTGTCGGCGGAATCTGCCGGTATCTGGTGTAGCTGTCGGCGGAATCTGCCGGTATCTGGTGTAGCTGTCGGCGGAATCTGCCGGTATCTGGTGTAGCTGTCGGCGGAATCTGCCGGTATCTGGTGTAGCTGTCGGCGGAATCTGCCGGTATCTGGTGTAGCTGTCGGCGGAATCTGCCGGTATCTGGTGTAGCTGTCGGCGGAATCTGCCGGTATCTGGTGTAGCTGTCGGCGGAATCTGCCGGTATCTGGTGTAGCTGTCGGCGGAATCTGCCGGTATCTGGTGTAGCTGTCGGCGGAATCTGCCGGTATCTGGGCTAGCTATCGGCTGAATCTGCCGGTATCTGGGCTAGCTGTCGGCTGAATCTGCCGGTATCTGGGGTAGCTGTCGGCTGAATCTGCCGGTATCTGGGGTAGCTGTCGGCGGAATCTGCCGGTATCTGGGCTGGCTGTCGGCGGAATCTGCCGGTGTCTGGGCTGGCTGTCGGCTGAATCTGCCGGTGTCTGGGCTAGCTGTCGGCTGAATCTGGGGTAGCTGTCTGGTGCATCTGCCGGTCTCTGG